TTTTTACTGTTGCCTTTGTTACATTTGTGTTGCATTTGTGCTGATAAATACAGCAGAGGTTCAAATCCCAGTAAGGGTCTGGCTAGCTGATGAGAGCTAAATAGCTTGAAATAGATCTATACTAGTCTCCCTTTATTTATTTATCAGCACAAATGCAACACACACACACACATAGACACACACACACGCATGCCAATCTGGGCTTCCCGCACTGATCCCTACGTGAAGACGGAGGGAATTTGCAAAAGATTGTGGGTTTCCTCGCAACCGCCTACCCAGCCAAGAGTAAGTCCATGGGGCTCATTTGTAGCAATAAGCCTCCAGCGGATGTGACTTGGAAATCTGCCACCACCAGCTTACGAAATGAGAGGATGGCCATCGGCTCCAAAATGTTAATCACCGTCACCCAGTCTTGAGGAGAAGGTTGCAATGGCTTGGGGAGGTGGGTGGGAGGAAAGGAAGGGATTTGAACGAGGACAGGGCACCAGCCAGCGCCAGATCACTTCCCACTCCGAAGCATCTGGTTGGATGGGTGGAGTGGATCTCCTTCTCATAAACCAGAGGGGGGAAAAAACCACACAAAGCAAATGGCAGCTTTTCCTTAAGGTTGGGCGCTGGGCCAAAGGCAAGTCCAAGAACGCAACGATTCAGCACCTTTTGGCCATGAAGTCCCTGGTCTACGGGTGGCCTTCCTCCCCCCCCCCCCACAACCAGGCGCACCTCAAGATTCGAAGGCTGGGGATGATAGAAGGTGGAGTCCCACCGAGCTGGAGGGCAGCGGGGCGTGGAAGGCAGATGGGCGCTTTCCTGTCTCTTTCCCCCCACCCCAAACCCCATTTTCCCCCCTTCTTGGGATTTCCCGGCAACGCGCTTCCTTTCTCGCCTTCCCTTGGAAGAAAACCCAGAAGGGGAAGCGTCTCCGCCGGGCAGCTCCCTTCTGCTCGGTGACCTTGGGCAGCTGCCTTCTCCTCCTCCTTCCAACCCAACCTTGCGCACCGATTGCCACCCACCCGCCGCTCCCACGCGCGACCTCCGGAGGACGCGGTCCAGTTCAAGCCGCCCCCGGGGAGGGGGAGGAGGGGGTCTCACCTGGGTGTTGGCTGCGCCTCCGGGTCCGGGGAAAGAGCCCAGCAAGAGCAGGGGCGCCAGGAGCCATCGCGCCGCAGCAGCCCAGCCCGCCGGGGCGCATCCCGTCGAGCCAGCCATGAGCTCGCCCCGTCCGCCGAGGGCTCGGTTCTTCGTCCCTGTTGTACGGCGTTCGATCGCTCGATCCCTCGGGGCGGGGATCCTCCTGAAAGCGGGAGAGGCGGCCAAGTCAAGAGGCTGCTGCAAATGGAGTCGGCTGCCGGGGCTGGGATGGGGCTGCGCTAAGCCTGGAGCGCTGCTGCCGCTGCCTCTGCTCCCAGCTGGGTTGTGACAGGAGGAGCTGGCCCCGCCGCCGCCGCCGCTGCCGCTGCCGATCGCCTTCCCCGCTGCTGCGGCTGCAGGCTCTGGCCGGCCCCGCCCCACTTCGCCTGCCTGGCCCCGCCCGTCCGCTCTGCCTGCAGCCGCGGAACGCCCAGGAGGGAGGAGGGGACGCCGGAGCCGCCGCCGCCGCCACCGGGAGGCGGAGCGCGATGGAGGGCAGAGCGCGGCTGGAGATGCAGAGACTGGGATGCTGCTGCTGCTGCTCCCGGGTCTATAGAGGAGACGGCGGGGAGCCCCTTTCGGACGTCCCGCCCCCGCCCCAGGCGGCGACGCGGGGACTCCGCCAACGGGGAAGGCGCCGTCTCTCTGCTGGCGAAGCCGTCCGGTCCTCGGGGAACCTGAAGTCGGACCGCGCGGGGCTGGGAAGAGCCGAAGGGCGGATTTTGCGCGTTTCGGTTGAGCAAGTCAAAGGAAGGGGGGGTCGATAGATCAGCCGCCCATCCTGGGACTGGATATGGCCAGCCGAAGAGAGAAAACTGGCTTTCCAGTTTTCCTTCCCCCCCCACCACACCCCGTATTAAAACCTATTAAGGTTTTAATAAATAAAGATTTTAAAAATGTCAGCAACTAAGACTTAGAGTAATGAAAGAAGAAAAGTGAAGAGCAAGGCCAAAAATACAAAAGAAATGGGAGAAAATGGAAAGAAGGCGATTTCCTATTTTCTTTACAAGTAATTATAAGTGTAGGATAGGATAGAATAGAATAATAGAATAGGATAGGATAGGAAGAATAGAATAGAATAGAATAGAATAAACAGAATAGAATAGAATAAATAGAATAGAAAGAATAGAATAGAATAGAAAGTACAGAATAGAATAATAGAATAGATAGAATAGAATAGAAAGTATAGAATAGAATAATAGAATAGAATAGAAAGAATAGAATAGAAAGAATAGAATAATAGAATAGAATAGAGAGAATAGAATAGCATAGAATAGAATAATAGAATAGAAAGAATAGGAAGAATAGAAGGAATAGAATAAGAGAATAGAATAGAATATACAATATAATACAGTGTATATACACACCATACAGTGTATAAATCTACTCTAGATACAGTATGACTTTCATTTTTTCCTGTAATCCGGGTTTTTATCAGTATCAAAACCATATATCAAAAGTTCAATCCCCCCCACCCCTTGTTTCATGCAAAAAGTCTACAAGGGGATTTCCAGTCAGCCATAAAGTTAGACAATGTCTGTTCTTTGATCAAAGATGTCAATTTTGGCCAAAACTAATGCAGAGTAGTAAAAGAGGTGAGGGGGAAGGGGACTGTTATGTTGAAAGGGGGGGGGGATGACAGCCTCCCATCAAAAGTATTGCATCCTTTGAATTCATGTCTGTGGGGGTCAAGGAAAAACTACTTCAATCGCTAGTAAGTGGAAGTGATTGCAAGGCTTAATCTTGTTTTTCCTCTGCTTTAAAGTGGATTATTTGCCGGGGTGAACACCAGAATGGAATATTTTCTAATGGGTCTTTCGATGGGATCTGGGCTGATCTCCCCTCTTCCTGGTTTTCTGATGGATTTTCTGCCCATTGGTGTAGGTTGGCAATCTCTTCCTTCTAAGTGAGGCACAATATTTAAAAGAATTAACTCTTCCAACTTAAAAAAAAGGGGGGCAACCAAGATTCTGGTCCCAGCATGGGTAACCTTTGACTTACAACTGTTCATTTTGTGACGGTTCCAAGTTACAACAGCATTGAAAAAAGTGACTGGCAACTGGTCCTCACACTTACAACCATCATAGCACCCCCAGGTTGCATGATTCAAAATTGCAGCCTGTGTATAATCAGGATGGTTGCACCATCCCAGATTCGTGTATAGTCATAGCTGAGTATTTGACTGCTTCAAAACCTGTCGAATTTGGTACTCAAAGTCTTTTGAAGCAAAAAACCCAAAAACTACTCTTGTCCCAGTATTCATCTCTCTCCTGGTACTCATTGTAGAATTTCATCTTCTTTTAATGANCGCGGTTTTGTGGTGGAACCGGTATCTGAATGTCTCACTGGCAACAGAAGACTCTCCAGCACTCCAGAGCTTCCCTCCCTCCTTAAGAATTCTCCCATTCACCCCTGTGGCTGTTTGACAAACTACGGAGCGACAGTGGGTGCAACTATAGAGTCGAATCAGATTTGACCTGCGGGCTTGCTAACCTCCAACCCAGCATTCTAACCACAGGAGCCACTTTTGAATTGGAGCTTCAAAATGCAGCCATAATGACGTTTGTAATTGGCTAGGATGGGGAGACTCCATCCCTGCCCTCAAGAAAATGTGGGCAGAGCCTCTACTGGTAATGGAGCAAACAGAAAGAGCCAATGTGTCATTCGCATTTGGGGAGTTTGTGTTTCCTACTCCCCTGCGATAGCACAGCCACGGGACATGCCAGAATAAGGATTAATCATAAAGCAAAATAACAAAATAAGAGATAGTTTGAGAGAAATGGGAAAGAGCCCTGAGTGCATTAAGTACAAAGGTACCTTATTTTGGTGCCTAAATACGATCAGATTAGAAAACCTGGCTGTTTAGAATGATTATTGGCTAATGACAATTTCAAGTATCAAGTCTTATAAATAGGTGGACGGTTAAAGATCAGAAATAATTTTAAAGCGAAGGGCTGATTTGCAAATGAATGAATGAACAACTGAATGAAATTGATTGTTGTTATTAGTTGCGAAGTCATGTCTGACTCATTGCAACCCAATGGACAACGTTCCTCCAGGCCTTTCTGTCCTCTACCATCCCCTGGAGTCCTTTTAAGCTCACGCCTACTGCTTCAGTGACTCCATCCAGCCACCTCATTCTCTGTCATCCCATTCTTCTTTTGTTCTCAATCATTCCCAGCCTCAGGCTCTCCAGCGAGTCCTTCCTTCTCATTAGGTGGCCAAAGTATTTGAGTTTCATCTTCAGGATCTGGCCT